TATAATATGATGTTTGTGAAAAAAATATATATATATTTTTTAGGCAGAGTCCAAATAATAAAAATTTGAGTTTGAAAATTAATCAAACAAACTCACATATATATATACTAGAATACGCTCTTGCGCGGTATACCGCGCGACTATTCTATAATGTAATGTAGTGAAACATTATTTATTTGAAATATAAACTGTAAAACAAAAATGTAATCGAATTATTTGTGCTCAGGTCGGTGGGTCAGGTCGTTTGGTTTGGTCGGTTGGTCTGGTCGGTTGGTTAGCGGTTGGATAGGCAGGTCGGAAGGTCCTCGGTCGGTTGGTCTGGTCGGTTGGTCCTCGGCCGGATGATTAGGTCGGTTGGTTAGCGAACGGATGGGCAGGTCGGAAGGTCCTCGATCGGTTGGTCTGGTCGGTTGGTCCTCGGTCGGATGGTTAGCGGTCAGACAGACAGGTCTGATGGTCTGCGGTCGGATAAAGTAGGTCGGCTGGTCTGCGGTCGGATAGGCAAGTCAGCTGGTCCGCAGGTGGATGGACAGGTTGCTTGGTGGGTGCGGCCAAGGAGTCTTTTGGTCTAGCGATTGGTCTCTGGATTGGTCGATTGGGCTATTTGAGTTCTGGAACTGGTGGAGGCGTTTGGCGAGGCGGTTGATGTAACCGACCAGACGACGTTTCAAAATGTTTTGTCTTGGGCGGTTGACGGCGGTTGCTGGCGACGGTTCCAAAACGTCTTTTCAAGCCAGTACAAAGGTAGGGTAAGAGCTAAATTGTCATTTTCGAAATGAGGGGCATGATAGACTTTTCAAGTGACAAATCCATACAATCTCGTGTATAACAACATACAAGTTTTAATACCCAAATCAACTAATACATAAGGTCTTGTTACGTACAAAAATAATAATAATAATAATAATGGTAGCAGTGTCTTGAAGGAAGGTAGGACCCGAAGTCGGGTAGAAAAGTAGAAAAATTTGCGCTCAGGTCGGTTGGTCAGGTCGGGAGGTCCTCAAGATGGAAAGTCATCAGGAAGGAAAGTCCTCAGGTCGGTTAATCAGGTCGGTTGGTTAGCGGGTCGGAAAGTCTGTAGGTCGGACAGACAGGTCTGATGGTCAGCAGGTCGGACAGACAAGTCGGAAGGTCTGCGGTCGGGTAGTCAGGTCGGTTGGTTAGCGGGTCGGATGGTCCATAGGTCGGAAATTCTGCAGGTCTGATGGTCAGCAGGTCGGACAAACAAGTCTGATGGTCTGCGGTCGGATAAAGTAGGTCGGCTGGTCTAGCAATTGGTCTTTTGAATGGTCGGTCGGGCCAGTTGAGTTCTGGAACTGGTGGAAGCGTTTGGCGAGACGGTGCAAGACACGTGTCAATAAAGGAGGAATTAGTGGGCAGTTGATGTAACCGACCAGACGACGTTTCAAAGCGTTTCGTCTTGGGCGGTTGACGGCGGTTGCTGGCGACGGTTCCAAAACGTCTTTTCAAGTAATATTTAAGGATTTAGATTTTTTATTTTCAAGCATCTTCAATCAACTTCAACAAAGCAAAGTCAGATTTGGGGATCACCACTTTAAATTTTCAGCATTTTAATTTTCCAATCAATTTCCTTTTATGTACCATACAGTGTTTAGAGATTTCTAATCTCAGACGCTAAAAAATCAAATTTAAGGTGTGTTACGTACAAAAATAATAATAATAATAAAAATAATGGTAGCAGGGTCTTGAACGAAGGTAAGACCCGAAGTCGGGCAGAAAAGTAGAAAAATTTGCGCTCAGGTCGGGTAGTCCTCAGGTCGGGAGGTCCTCAAGACGGAAAGTGGTCAGGTCGGGAAGTCCTCAGGTCGGGACGTCCTCAGGTCGGGAGTTCCTCAAGACGGAAAGTGGTCAGGTCGGGAAGTCCTCAGGTCGGGAGGTCCTCAAGACAGAAAGTGGTCAGGACGGGAAGTCCTTAGGTCGGGAAGTCCTCAGGTCGGGAGGTCCTCAAGACAGAAAGTGGTCAGGACGGGAAGTCCTCAGGTCGGGAGGTCCTCAAGACGGAAAGTGGTCAGGTCGGGAAGTCCTCAGGTCGGGAGGTCGTCAAGACGAAAAGTGATCAGGTCGGGAAGTCCTTAGGTCGGGAAGTCTGCAGGTCTGATGGTCAGCAGGTCGGACAGACGGATGGTCAGCAGGTCGGACAGACAGGTCTGATGGTCAGCAGGTCGGATAAAGTAGGTCGGCTGGTCTAGCAATTGGTCTCTGGAATGGTCGGTCGGGCAAGTTGAGTTTGGGAACTGGTGGAAGCGTTTGGCGAGACGGTGCAAGGCACGTGTCAATAAAGGAGGAATTAGAGATTCCTAATCTCAGGCGCTAATCAATCAAATTTAAGGATATTTTCCATATCTTTGAATTTTACTTTTTGTCTGTTGAAAAAATACATCAACACTTTATTTTCAGATTTTACTTTTTATTGTTGAAAAATTGCATCAACAATAATAAAAAATAAAATAGAGGAGAATGTAGATGAAATGTTTGAGATAAGAAGGGTGACCCTGCATCTCTTTATGAGTTTTGAAATGTCAAAAATAGCAAGGATATTTCAACTTTGATAATTGTTACGCAAAAAAAAAAAAAAAAAAAAAATAATAAATAATAATAAGGATAGCAGGATCTTAAAGGAAGATAGACACGAAATCGGGTGGAAAAGGAAAAAAAAATTGCGCTCAGGTCGGTTGGTCCTCGGTCGGATGGTCAGGTGCGTTGGTTAGCAGTCAGATAGGCAGGTCGGAAGATCCTCGGTCGGTTGGTATGGTCAGTTGGTCCTCGGTCGGATGATCAGGTCGGTTGGTTAGCGGTCGGATTGGCAGGTCGGAAGATCCTCGGTCGGTCGGTTGGTATGGTCGGTTGGTCCTCGGTCGGATAGTTAGCGGTCGGACAGACAGGTCTGATGGTCAACAGGTCGGACAGACAGGTCTGATGGTCTGCGGTCAGATAAAGTAGGTCGGCTGGTCTGCGGTCGGATAGGCAAGTCAGCTGGTCCGCAGGCGGATAGACAGGTCGCTTGGTTGGTGCGGCCAAGAAGTCTTTTGGTATAGCGATTGGTCTCTGGATTGGTCGGTTGGGCTATTTGAGTTCTGGAACTGGTGGAGGCGTTTGGCGAGGCGGTTGATGTAACCGACCAGACGATGTTTCAAAACGTTTCGTCTTGGGCGGTTGACGGTGGTTGCTGGCGACGGTTCCAAAACGTCTTTTCAAGCCAGTACAAAGGTAGATTAATGGCTAAATTGTCATTTTCGAAATGAGGGGCTGGATAGACTTTTCAAGTGGCAGATCCGTACAATCTCGTCTTTTCAAGCCAGTACAAAGATAGGTTAAGGACTAAATTGTCATTTTCGAAATGAGGGGCAGGATAGACTTTTCAAGTAGCAGATCCGTACAAACTCGTATTTATAAGATATAATAATATCTAAAAAGAAAAGCGTGAATATAATTGGATGAAAAAATGAATAATATTTTATTAATTAACGTAAATATGTAAAATATTTTTGATTTTTTCTTAGTCTTTACATTTTGGTATTAATATGAAAATACTTTTTAATATGATAAAAACATGTACATCTGAATTAAAAAAAAAAAAAAAAGTTAGAAAAATCTTACCCTTTGTTTTTTTTGTGACTTTTTCAAAAGAAAATTTTATTGTTTTATTTTTTTTAATAAAATATACTCTATCTGCTAAAATATAAATTTTTAATATTTTTTTCTTACAACTATGGAAGAAATGAATAGGTTTATAACAATTAAAGATATTTTGATAGTTATATACTGCCTCCGTCTCAAAAGAGTTGTCTTATTTTTCCATTTTCGCTTATCTCAAAGCAATTGTCTCATTTTTTTATTTAGTAACCGTGGTCATCACTTTATAATAAAATTATTTCTACTTTTTCAAATTACCCCTAATTATTACTCTAACATACTTTTTAAAATTCTTCCAAAAAAAAAACAAAGGTATTTTAGTCTTTTATATTTTACTTTATATCCAATAAGACATCTCTTTCGGGACAGATGGAGTATATAATTATTTTTATTATAATAGAAAATGAGTTACTAAAAAATTGATAAAAGTAATACATTGAGTTGAATATATATATATATATATATATAGTTTCTTTATAGCTTAATAAACTATGCATTTTTTTTCTTTTAAATCCGCCGCGTAACAAAATATTAATTTTATTTTTTAGTAACTTACTATCTACCTAATATTACAAATACATTCTCCATTTACAATATACTACACAAATGTATATCATTCAATACTAATAAGGTTAATTTAAGGTGTGTTTGTTTGGGGGTTTGGATTTTGAGTTAAGATTTGAATAGTAAAAATTTTGAATTTGAATAGTTGTATGATGTGATATAAATAGGTGTTGATGTGATATTTTAAATGTAAAATTGATTTTTAGTATAATATAAAAAATGAAAAATAGGTGTTTGATTTGATATTTTTTGGGGGAAAAAATTGGATAAATAGTGTAAATCCAATCCAATCCCCCAAACAAAAACACCCTAGTCTTTTTATTTTTATTTTATTTTATATTTCAATATAATATTAATATTTTTAAAATTCTGTAAAAAAAAAAAAAAACAAATAGATAAATATGAGACGGAGAAAATATTATTCTCTCTCATAAAAAAATCATGTTCAATTACTATTAAAATGAAAATAAAATAAAAAAATCACCAGTCAACATCTATACATTTCTAAAATACTTTTCAAAAACAAAACAAACAAAGCTAAGAAAATACAAATAAGGCAACATCTATTTAACTATGAAGTTTGACCAACACAATAAGGTAATAAATAAGGTCTGAGGAGGTTAGGGTTTGAAATTGAATCCCTGTTGATTGGGGCATTTAGGAAAAGGGGCACGACACGGGCGTGTTCAATTTCAATTTGGCCACAAACAAACAGTAGACTTCCACATGTAACCCAGCCCTTATTGTTATACAAATAAATACTCTCTTCTCAATAAAATTCGCCGAGAAACAACCGTGGTCTCCACAAGCGCACACGCCCCGCGGCGCCCAAATCTCACCTCGCCATATATTACGCTCTCCTCTCCCAATCCCAAATCGTCTTCTTCATCATCATCATCATCATCATCTGGCACACTTTCCCAGCACAAGCAGCCCATTTCCTCCCCCTAACTAACTCCAGTCACTCCCATACCCTTCTCGCTTTCACTGATTGGGTTCGATTATTGTTGCTTTCTGGAATAGCTTGTTCCTTCCAACCATGTATATAGCCACCGGGACCTCCGCGCTTCTCAGAAGAGCGTCGGCTTCTCGCTCTGGGAGAAAGGCTTTTTCTTCGCTTTGTAAGAAGCAGGGATCGCCCTCGCCTCTGCCGTCGACCGGTTCGTTTGGCGTCGGGCATCAGCAGTATAGATCGTTGAGTTATCTGACCGCCGCGAGGTGGAGCCACGGTGTTGATTGGAAATCGCCGACTAGTCTATCGGCGCAGATCAGAATCGCCGCCGCCGCTTCTGATTCCCCTTTGCAGCGCAAGATCTCTACCATGGGTGGGTAATTTTGTCATTTTTTTGATATTTGGGATTCTGAAAATTTTGACTCTGCCGTCATTTGATCTTATTGCTCCTTTTTTTTGGGAGAATTTTACGAATCTTGATGCGAAAGCTATTGGCTGTAAGGTTTGTTATGTGATGATGGCGTGGAATTTGACTTCTATCCAATTATTCATTTTTATTTTTTATTTTTAAAAAAAATTTCTCACTGCGTTTCTTGCTGAACTGATTTCGTGTTTCCATATTTGTTCGTTTATTCTTTTTTCTATTCTCCACTTTGCTTTTGTTTTTCGAAAAGTCTTATGTGAATATATTTATTGCAAGTTGTTTTATGAAAAGGTGAAATTTTATTGTTTAATCATATCTAAATGATGATGATTTGTTTTGACTGCTGTGCTGTTTTGATCATTTCTTCAGCTTCCGAGAATGCTTTCAAGGGAATTTTCACTAGCCTTCCTAAGCCGGGTGGTGGCGAATTCGGAAAATTCTACAGCCTTCCTGCTCTGAATGATCCAAGAATAGGTAACAATATTAGCAATTATGGAGATACTATGCTTTGTTTGGATCAAAGCTTTGAATGTTTCGAGACGGTCAATGCATGTTTTCAATATGTTGTGAGGATCATGGACAATAGAAATAATGAATGCGTTCGATTTGGTTGTTTAGTTTTATATATACATTTTTACATGCTAATTGGGTTTTTCATTGGGCATATGTCATTCTGAAGTAAGAATTAGTATTAGTCTTATGGTGTAGGGTACACTGCTTTATTTCGAGAAAGTGTTTAGATATGCTTTGGAAGTGTTTCGGTGTTTTGGGAATAGTGAAGAGCTAAATAGAAAATACGTGTATGTAAACAGAGGTTGATTGTGATATTTGAGTATATAATAGTGTGTTCGGTTTGTGATTGTGTTTTGCTAGAGGAAATAGTGTATTTTTTACTTGGAAGCAAAATGATTGCGTATTAAAAGAAATGAAAAAAAAAAAAAAACTCTTTTTTACGAAATATTTTAAATGAAAATTATGTTTTAAGTGTGGTGCTTTTTATATAGAAATTTTGTTGAATAGTGCGAAAACAAAATTACATCATAAGTAAACAAATCCTAGATTTGATCTTGGGGAATAATGATTGAATTTTATTTATCAGCGCAAGCGGGATAATGATTGTACTTGTAGCAGCCATGTTAGGTGAATTTTTAAATCTAAAATTTTGAGATGTAAGAGTATATACAATATGTATGCATTATGTATGCATTTATGTTTTTGAGCTTTCATACGATGGCTAGTCTTACATCATAGTGATGATGGTCTTATGTGCTTATGTTGCGATGACAGATAAACTGCCATACTCTATTAGAATCCTTCTCGAGTCTGCCATACGCAACTGCGATGGTTTCCAAGTTACAAAGGAAGATGTTGAGAAGATTATTGACTGGGAAAAGACATCCGGAAAGCAAGTCGAGATTCCATTCAAGCCTGCCCGTGTGCTTCTTCAGGTACTTGTTTATCCTACTAAGCTGGCTTTAGTAAACTATTTTGGAATATACGATCATTACTCGCATCTGATGAACATGGCATTTATTGCTAGGATTTTACGGGCGTTCCTGCTGTGGTTGATCTGGCTTGCATGCGTGATGCTATGAATAATCTTGGCAGTGACTCCAATAAGATTAATCCACTGGTAGGCAACGGTATTTGCTTTATAAATTTATGCACATAATTATTTTTTCTATTGTATCTTGTTCTTGTTGTGGTTGCTTGTAATCTCTAATCGGATGGTCGTGGACTTCCAGGTTCCTGTAGATCTGGTCATTGATCATTCAGTTCAAGTGGACGTTACAAGATCAGCTAATGCTGTTCAGGCAAATATGGAGCTTGAATTCCAGAGAAACAAGGAGAGATTTGCTTTTCTTAAGTGGGGCTCCAAGGCCTTCCAGAACATGCTCGTTGTTCCTCCTGGTTCGGGTATTGTGCATCAGGTATTTGACAAAAATATCAACAAACTTATGTACTTTCCATTCATGGTGTTGTTTGATGTGCCCAATTTATCTGTATGCACTGCTCGTCTATCTTGATGATTGATTGCATCATGAGTTGTGCCTGACCCCATGTTTCCAGGTCAATCTTGAATATCTTGGGCGGGTTGTCTTTAACAACGAGGGACTACTCTATCCGGATAGTGTGGTCGGAACTGATTCCCACACCACCATGATTGATGGGTTGGGAGTCGCTGGTTGGGGAGTCGGAGGTATTGAAGCAGAGGCAGCAATGCTCGGTCAGGTAATATAAATCCAAATTGTATCAGGGCTCGATACATAGATTCAAATTCACCTTCCTATTCTTTTGCATATGATGAAATCTATTTCAAGAAATTTGTAATACTTGACAGCCAATGAGCATGGTGCTTCCTGGGGTAGTCGGATTCAAGTTATCTGGGAAATTAAGGGATGGTGTCACAGCCACTGACTTGGTTTTAACTGTCACACAAATGCTGAGGAAGCATGGTGTTGTTGGAAAATTTGTCGAATTTCATGGTAAATATTGAGTGTTTCGAACGTTCTCATTTCTATTGGAGGTCTGAGGATGGATGTAATAACGCTTGTAATTGTGTTTCAGGCCAAGGTGTGGGTGAAATCTCACTGGCTGACCGAGCCACCATTGCTAACATGTCTCCAGAATACGGTGCCACCATGGGATTCTTTCCAGTCGATCATGTCACCCTACAATACCTGAAATTAACAGGCAGAAGTGATGAGACTGTAAGAGCACATTTCATTTTTTTTTTTTTTTTTTTTTTTTTAATACACGTGAACTAGTAATTTTGACATTGCAATATTTATAGGTGTCAATGATAGAAGCTTATCTCCGTGCAAACAAGATGTTTGTCGACTACAATGAGGTAGATCCTTGTGGTGATTGACATGATAAAAATGTTTTTGGAACAGTTCTGAGTAGTCAATATTTATTTTTATGGAATATCAGCCTCAACAAGAAAGAGTGTACTCATCCGATTTGCACCTAGACCTGGGAGAAGTTGAGCCATGTATTTCTGGACCAAAAAGGTTTGTCTCTTAACAAAGTTTCCACCTTCAAATTTCCAATTGCCTTAATATTTTCAGCGGCATCTGATCTTGCTTCTCTAACAGGCCTCACGACCGAGTTCCTTTGAAAGAAATGAAATCCGATTGGCATTCTTGCCTTGACAACAAAGTCGGTTTCAAGGTCAGGATCTAATCATATTCAATAATATTGACACATATTCATATTTTTCATCTCCAGTGTCGAGCTGAATCATCATCCAACTGTAGGGCTTTGCAGTGCCAAAAGAGGCTCAAGATAAAGTTGCTAAGTTCTCATTCCATGGACAACCTGCTGAGCTTAAGCACGGGAGTGTTGTGATTGCTGCTATAACGAGTTGCACAAATACATCAAACCCCAGTGTTATGCTTGGAGCCGGCCTTGTAGCTAAAAAGGCATGCGAACTGGGGCTTCAGGTTTGTGACTATCACAAAGAACTCATTTGCGTATTTACTCTATATATCTTCCAACGAATCAAATATAAATTAATATAAAGTGCGTCTTCCTATCCGCTAAAACTCTTAGATGAGATTGTCATCTAATATGATATTAGAGGTTTGCGTGCAATTGAGGTTTATGTTTAATGATGACATTTTGTATCAATTTATATTGTTAGGTGACATGATTGTTTGACCATATTTAGTTCAGTATTGTTCTAACCTAAAATTTTATTAGGTAAAACCATGGATAAAGACAAGTCTTGCTCCTGGCTCAGGTGTCGTAACAAAGTACTTGGAGAAGAGGTAATTATCCCTGCATATTATTTGTTGCAATTTTCGCCCGATGCAAAAGTAAATGTGTGTGCTTGTTACATGTCACAGTGGGTTGCAGAAGTATTTGAACGAGCAAGGCTTTAGCATTGTGGGTTACGGTTGCACAACGTGCATTGGAAACTCGGGTGAATTGGACGAATCAGTTGCTGCTGCTATATCAGAAAATGGTTCGATTGTGCCTCGATTTTCTGTTATATTCCTCGTCAATGCAGCCGATTGTCTAATCGTCTTCGTGGTGTGATATGCAGATGTTGTTGCTGCTGCTGTACTTTCTGGAAACCGTAACTTCGAGGGCCGTGTTCATCCCTTGACTAGAGCCAACTATTTGGCTTCCCCGCCTCTCGTCGTAGCTTATGCGCTTGCTGGAACGGTTAGTTATCGTTCCTTACAAATCTCAATAATACGACCGTTGCATTCGTTCTAATTTTTGCTTCGCATTGAACTCAATATGTTTCTACATTTTCTTGACAGGTCGATATTGACTTCGCAAAGGAGCCGATTGGCGTAGGCAAGGACGGTAAAGAAGTCTATTTTAGAGATATCTGGCCCTCAACCGACGAAGTAGCGCAGGTACGATACAATCTTGTCATGCATTAGCTTCTGATTCTTGTTTGAAATTTTCGATGGGAATTGAAAGCCGGAGACTTATTCGATTCAGGTGGTTCAATCAAGCGTGCTGCCCGACATGTTCAAGAGCACGTATGAGGCCATAACTCAAGGCAATCCGATGTGGAACCAGCTATCGGTGCCCACGTCGAAGCTTTACTCATGGGACCCGAACTCTACGTACATTCACGAGCCGCCGTACTTCAAGAATATGACGATGGATCCTCCAGGCCCCCACGGCGTAAAAGACGCGTACTGCTTGCTGAATTTTGGCGACAGCATCACCACCGATCACATCTCCCCCGCCGGCAGCATCAACAAAGATAGCCCGGCAGCCAAGTTCCTCCTCGAGCGTGGAGTCGAGCGCAAAGATTTCAACTCGTACGGTAGCCGACGCGGTAACGATGAGATCATGGCGAGGGGAACTTTCGCGAATATCCGCCTCGTGAACAAGTTATTGAATGGGGAAGTCGGCCCGAAGACAGTCCATGTTCCTTCGGGTGAAAAGCTCTACGTCTTCGATGCTGCAATGGTAATTTTTGACAATCTCTTGGCTTTGATTCTATAGCTTTCGATTTTATTTTCGTTCGTGTTGCGTGACGTCTTTGGATGGAAATGCGAACTTTCAGAAATACAAGTCGGCCGGGCAGGACACGATTATTTTGGCCGGAGCAGAGTATGGAAGCGGAAGCTCAAGAGATTGGGCTGCTAAAGGACCGATGCTTTTGGTAAGTCCTTTAGAACTAAAATATCGATGTCAAGGAACCCCAAATTAACACGGTTGGCTCGAACTTTCGATCTTTTTTCAGGGAGTTAAAGCCGTGATAGCGAAAAGCTTCGAGAGGATCCACCGGAGCAATCTCGTCGGTATGGGGATTATCCCTCTATGCTTCAAGTCCGGCCAGGATGCCGACACTTTGGGCCTAACCGGCCACGAGCGCTACACAATCGATCTCCCGACCAACTTATCGGACATCCGGCCGGGCCAAGATGTCAATGTCCACACCGACTCCGGAAAACAATTCACATGCACCGTGCGCTTCGACACAGAGGTAACTTCAAAAACGATCTTGGCCTCCCCAAATTTTACTATTCATCAATTTTTTTTTCCACCAAAATATCAAATCAAATACCTGTTTTTTATTTTTTATATTATACTACATTCGTCTTGCTCTAAGGGTCCTATTTACTTTTTGCAAATTAAGAAACAAAAATAATATTTTTACTATTAAGTACAACGATGCAAAAAGTAAATGTATCCCTTAGAGACGAAATTAAAAATTAATTTTACATTCAAAATATCATATCAACACCTATTTATATCGAACAAACACACCCTTGTTGAAGTTTATGCGCTCTTGCTCGTTTTTCGGATGATTATGGTTTTGATTCGAGGATTTTGACGATGTAGGTGGAGTTGGCTTACTTCAACCACGGCGGCATTCTCCCGTACGTGATTCGACAGCTGAGCAAGCAGTAAGAACCAGGCCGGCCGCCATCGATGGTAAGAGTGAGAATAAATTGATATTGCTTTTATAGAAATTCTCCGATAATTTCATGTTCATGGCAAAGTTTTGTAGCTTCTTGACAATGACAATGGAACCAGATTGTCAAGACTTGGAAGAGTATTTTCGTTTCCTTGTAATAAGCAAAACAAACAAACAAACAAAGAAAGAAAGAAACCTAGAACACGCCCGTGTTTCAGATCCATTATTCATTGCTGCGACTGCGAGCATTTATTTGTATCAAGTGCTGTATTGCATTGTTCGACATAACTGCGTATTTATCACCTAATTAATTAAGCTCGCTCAAAATTCAGACTGGTTTTCTTCTGGGATAGATATGAAGCTGATTAATTGAACATCTTTAGAGTGAATATGTTGTTTAATAAGTATGTTATTTTGTGTTCCTATAGGGTGTGTTCATTTGGCGTAAAGTTTTGAGAAATCAACTGTAGTGTTACTGTGGGCGAAATCACATTCTAGGCGACGAAATCACATTCTAGGCGACGAAACTGCAGACTAGTGTGTAGGGTTTGATCATGGCGAGCTTTCCCATATCCCTTGCCTTTCATGTATAGGAGAAGCAGTCCGTTAGTTCTATGGTTATGCGCGGCAGTCAATTGCCAACACACGAGCACGGCCGTGCATACTTATCTGTTTATTTCTGTTTCGGTCTTACGTAACTCTTGGACGATTTGTAATGTACTGCACGTCACCGGACGGCCTACGCGCATGACATATTTTTGTCATTGACGTTTGTTAACTTTTGGTATTCGGCATACTTACATCTTTTTTATTAATATTTCTTCTACTTGTTCTTCCGCACGTAAACTGTAGGCTACTGCCAAAATTAATTAATTTATTTTTCTTTATTTTTCCTTTTTTTTTTGGTAAGGAGAAAAAGAAAATTAATAAAAAAAAAAACATTTTATTTCCTTTTGGATGTTTTTCAGTCTCTTACTATCAATTTTTATATATATTTTTTTCTTATAAAATACACCATTTTATTCATTAAACTTCTATGTCTAGTATCCTTAAATTATCTTTTACTCATTTTACTTGAATATTAAAATATTATTATTTCTATATAACTTTTTTTTTCACAGAAGGAGTACTATATTAAAATTGTTTTGAAAGTGGTATCATTAACATTGTGGAGTTAAATTTTTGAAAGAATTGCAAAACAACGGCACCATTAGCCTTTGCTTGATTTCAGTTTGAATTTGAATTCTGATTTTGATAATTATAAAAACAAGTCTACATAATTTTTATTTAAATTTAAATAAATATTTTGATGTGTATATTTTTATTAAAAAACTAAAAAAAAAAAAAAAAAAAAATTTGTTTGAAACTCAAGTAACACATATCTATGAGTCTCTGTAAATATTATAAAGAATATAATATATAATATATACATTTTATTTACTCACAACACAAAGTGTAGACACGCACACACGAATTGATACTTTGGATATCTTTTTGTAATGTTTTACTTAACATAATACCATAAAAGTTAAAAATGAATGATCTGGTAATCTTTTAAAAGAAAAATGATGAGCAAGGAGGCTAACTTTTTTACTTTACACAAACAAAAGAAAAGCCTCTCGATCAAAAGATTCAACAAAGAAAATTATTCAAAAGAGGCAAACTAAAACCAGCTATGTTATGAGCAAGTGTTCATGTAAACACCGGCACATTATTCTTTCATGATCAGAATTATAGAGTCATCAAAGTTGCACGCCATGAATTTTCAAGCAAAACCATGAGTTGATGCTGTAGAAGAACGACGGTCTACTCGAGTTTTATCTCTCTTTTTGGCGGCTCCAAGTCCAAGTAGGTGAAAGGTTCAGTCGGCTCTTCCCTGCATATGAATAATACAGTTTTGTGTATCAATGAATAATTTCAACCTATTCTACTTAGCATGTGGTCGATGTTGAGATAATATGTAGTAGAAAGATAATATCATATGATAACGACAATTGAAGAATGGGAGAAAAAGCTTAGAGTAACTTTACCCAGGCTTTGATCGCATGCATCGCCAGAATAGCTTGAAGGGTCCCGGAATTGTTTTAAAAGGGTTTCCTTCAAAACATGCCTACTTGAAGATAAAACATCAAAACTAAGAAAATGTAATTTAGAGTAACGATCAACATATTTTTTTCTGAAGCTTTTAGGTAAGCCCAAAGCAATAACTAAATTGAAGAGAGCATCCAAAGAATCAATTTGCCCAATTCTTGCTTATCCAATGACCAATTCATAGTGCTAACTCTGTTGTTAGATGATGTTAAATGACCGTCTTTATTAAAAGTTTTTATTTATTTATATTTTCACAGGAGTCAAAGTGTATGGGATATACACCACCATACGAATCTTGCACGTGGACAATGACGAATAGGGACGATCGAACTCAAACACAAGACTATGATTTTAATACCGTGTTAGATGTTGTTAAATGGTTGTTTAGTGATTTAGTTTATAGTTTAGATTAGATAATATCTAGATTATGTCGTTATTAGTTGGTCATATCTATTAGATTAGAGTGTTATTATTTAAGTAAATCGAGTCAAATGTCACACTTGTTTATAGGCTCCTATTTTCATTCATAATGCAATGCAAATTTTCAATCGTCACCAAAATTTCTTTTCACACCTCGTATAAAAGTGCAAGTAGCTCTTCTCAAACTTCCAACAAAAAATAAATATGAGAGTAATTTGTACAAATTTATGGGTGATCAAGACAAAGATGAACAGGGAATGAGCTTGTTTGCCAATGAAGTGCTTCTATTCATATTTGTTAAAATTCTAATCCCCTGTTCAGGCCTGCTTGTGCCTTAAAGAATGAGCACTGGGTTGTTGGTTAAGCGTTCAGTCAACTTTTTATATTCATGAACAAGTAAACAAGTGTTAATAACAGAAAACACGAAATGTACTTGTATTATTGAAACATAAAGAAACAAAGCATTCACGAATATTTTTGTGAACAATAAGAAAACACTCCTCACTCATGCTCATTTATGTACTCACAGATCTTAACAAACTTAGTTTGTTCATTGTATCCCCTAAAAAATTTAGAAAGTGGTGCTCTTATAAACGATGGATTAGACATTTGAATATATAGGGCCCTTTAAATTAGCCAAATAACACAAATAACTTCGTGCACTATATAACTCGTACATACGCATATATATACACTCAAATTATATATACACCAACTAATACACTGAACCATTATCAGGATATTTGAAAGGCAATGTATCTTCATATCCATTTTGTAGATTTCCGGAGTTGGAAAAATATCTCATTCAAATTGATGGAAAGCTACTACATTATATAAAAATCGGAGAAATGTTGCACTATGAAGCAAAGTAATATTAACCAAGAACCACAAAAATACATAACCTACGTAGCAGATTTTCTGAGGTCTATGATACTTCCAAACAAGCGTAGTAACTAGCAGCCATGTCTGCATTTTTAGATAAATCATTAACAATACAAAGATTTAGGAGATTTAGACTAATCATGGATCCAGAGGAAGGACGACAACAGATTAAAAGTATATAAGATAGACACTGGCTCAATCTTTGACCAAGAAATCAATCACTAAACGAATTTTAAGCGGTGAAGCTATAGCATGAAATGTCAATTTTTGACGTGGAAGGATGTAAAAGTACTGAATGCCAATGCAACTTCAAGAGAAGCTTCAATATAGCATCGCCTGGGTGTGTTTACTTGTGAGATTTTGGTTTTTGGTTTTGGTTTTGAATAGTAAAATTTTGAATTGAAATAGTAGTTTGATGTGATATAAATATGTATTGATGCGATGTTTTGAATGTAAAATTTAATTTAGTGTGATATAATAAATAAAAAAATAGGTGTTTGATTTGATGTTTTTGGGGAGGAAAAAAATTGGAATAGTAAAACGAAAAAACAAATCTTACAAGGAAACATGTTCCATCTTGATCAGTTCTCTCCTAAACCAAATCAATTTTTCATTATAAGAATTGCATTTTAACAATGCACATCAATAATTTACGAAATAGAGCACATGATCTTTCATCACACTCAAATAACAACCAGGCAACTAAAATTTCACTCTACAACTCAAATGGAATCAACAGATTTTCCACCAAAAAAGTGAAATTTGAGCGTCTTCTGCATAGATTTTCCACCAAAAAGAAAACTGCTTACTTGGATGACGTCTTCTGCACGGTCATTGCATCGATGAGCTTTTGGCTCTCGGTGGTATCCTTCAGACACTCCCCATGGACTCTCTCTTCTTGGTACTGGTCTTTCACTCATTACTCTTTTCCAAACTGCAAATACCACGAAAAATTGTTTGTGCAAGAAATAAAACTGGAATAATTAGATGAGATAATTACTTAATTTCATACATTCAGATCTACAGAATTGTGTAAGAACCAATCCAATCCAATCCAGTAATAGCATAGGAGGATGGAGGATGCTTTAAATTCAAGGAACGCATAAAATACATTTAAGCTCAAAGCTGAAATTGTACCCAACATATAAAAAATTCAGAAAAAGCAACACAATTAACTACAGAAAACATCAAAACCCTAAATAGCCAATAACCATAGCAGCCGGCATTCAAATTTATAACATCAAATAATTAAGATTATTGAAACGATACTTACAAAGCCTCCGACGAAATCGCAGAACAGGACAGAACCCAAGCTACCGTACCCTGCTGACGCGAAGACGAGAAGATGGTTTGGAGACGACGATGAAGAATGAAATTTTGTTTTAAAGAAACTTTTTTTTATTAATATATTTATATATAACATCATCTCCGAGCCACCGTTCGAACCGATCGAAACCGGACTCGGTTCGCATCTAACCGACGGTTCGGTTCCGGTATGTGTAGCGAACAGCCGGTTCACGGTTTCAAATCGGCGGTTCATTCATTATTTATATTTTTCTATTTTGAACCGGCGGCCGACTGCGAATGTGGGAAGAAGAAGATAGGATAAAAACCTCGGGCGGCTGCGGCTGCGGCTGCGGGATGGGTGTATGAGGTTAGGGTGTGTTTGTTTGAAGGATTTTGGTGGATTTTCACTACTCATCCAATTTTTTCCCCCCAAAAATATCAAATCAAATACCTATTTTTTATTTTTTATATTATACTAAAAATCAATTTTACATTCAAAACATCACATCAAACCCTATTTATATCACATCATACAACTATTCAAATTCAAAATTTTTACTATTCAAATCCCAACTCAAAATTCAAACCCCCAAACAAACACACCCTTAGTACATTGTTACTAAAAAAATATATATATCTATATATTAATATTAATATTAATAAAAATGAATAATTATTAATGATATATTATTATATTATTTTAAAAAAATTTATATTTAAAATTTATAATTTTTACGGACAATTGGGCAAAAAGTTCTCTGTCCATTTATCATTTGGGATTCAGTCCTTAATGATAAAAAATTTGTCTGCACTCCCCCCTTTTTCCTTCTTCCTTCTTCTTCCTCCCTAATCGTATTTTTCTTCATTCTGTTTCTCTTCGCGCAAAAGATTCTTCTCAATCCGTTGTCCTCTTCCGTGAGCTCGAAATCCACATCCCGCACAGGTAAGGTTCTTAATTGTTCGCCCGATTTTACATCGCCGCTTCTTGTCTGGTTCGATTGAAAAATTTCCTAGGGCACTCTCCGAATCCTGTTCCGGTTCCCTGTCGTCGGCGGTCGGTTGATTCGGTCGAAGAACTACCGAAGGCTGTCACCGGTTCCGTGGCCCGTATTTCTTGTTCTCCGGTGAAATTAGATGTACCAGGTGTGTTTTTGTGTCGGTTGATTCGGTCGAAGAACTACCGAGGGCTGTCACCGGTTCCCTGGCCCGTCTTTCTTGTTCTCCGGCGAAATTAGATGTACCAGGTGTGTTTTTGTATCGATATCTTAGTTGGAAAATTATTATTTGGAAGAAAATGTTTGGGTATTATTTTGGGTGATTTTGATAATAAATTTTGTTGCTATTTAGGGTTTAAGGGTAATATTTATTTTGTGAAATGGGTAATTTGTTGCTATTGAGGATCAAGACATTACTGGAATTCCGTAAGAACATATGATTTTAGTGTATTTTGTGTAAGATTATCTAATCGCCCATACGACCTAATATAGTTCATACATTCATTGGTTGGATCGCTAGGTTCCGATGGACATGGAGCAAAGTAGTCTGAAATTATTAATTATATGTTCCTACGAAGGTGAGCATCATGTAATTCGTTTAGAAGAGGGCACCACGCTGGAGGATCTTTACCGGAATATATCGAAAAGATGGAATAAAGTGAGTATTGAGGCGGTAAAACTCCAATATATTGCACCTATTCAGAAAAGCTACGTGACGTTATTGTGTGACGATGATGTCGCCAATATGTGGAGAATGCATATCTTGTTAAAGGTAATGTTTGTGGATATGATTGCACGGTGCAGAAGCGAGCACCAGAGCGTGCCTCTCCGAAGCACGGTTGGACGCAGGTACGTTACTCATCATTTGTAATTAAGTAGTCTTTATTAAACTTTGTTATAGAATGCAGTCACAATTGTTCCTTATGAAAGAATGCAGTCTGTAAGCACTTATAATGCAGTATGTAAGAATGCAGTCTGTAAGCACTTATAATGTCATGTTCAACACATCTAAAAACATATTGTTTATAGGTTACGTTAGTAATAATTCTTTCATGATATTGGCATACAACAATACCGTGGTATATTGTTGCGATGTTGTTTGTAGGTAGTAAGTATCCACCTCCGCGATTTTGTAGTAGCGCGGTGCAGAACGAACCACTGAAGAGATTGTAAAGATATGTAGTGGGGATATAACGTCTTGAAGGTATTTAACGATTTTCACTCCTTCTTTACACGCCACTGTCAATATCCTCTAGCAATCCGGTTTAGGTAGGTGTACCATGATCGATGCGTTGAAATTTCTGTAGCCCATGGCATTTACTGCATCACGTAGCCTGCTGCGGTGAATAGATGCAGTTGTTCTTTTAAATACCCTGGATGACACGGTAGGTAACCATAGACACCGTGGACATACTCGGTTGAGTAAGATGGGCACCCATGTTTTTCCATTTACGAAGAAAATATCTATTACCATATAAAATTAGAACTACTTACATATGATATAATTTTCATTCTTATTATTGTATTTGTAATGTAGGGGTGAGGCCGAATGTTCTGGATTGAACGAAGATTGCGCCGATGGTATCTTTATTCCCGACGAAAGTACTAGTCTAATTGCAATGCAGAGATGCATTGTCGGGGAAGGTCAGACATTCAAGGGACCGCAGGAGTTTAGAAAGTTACTGAAGAATTATTCTATTGCCACTCAGAAACACTTCAGGTACCAAAAGAATGATTCGAGCAAAATTATTGCGGTGTGCATCGACAAAGGCTGTGGTTGGCGTATTTATGCATCCTTCCATGCTCGTGATGCATCATTCAGCATTCGTAAGTGCAATTTACATCACACATGTACTATGAGTCTATTGCAATCAAGAGATCATCCAGCAGCCGATGCGAACTGGATTTCTGAGGTCTACAAAGATAAGATACGTTCTATGCCAGCGTATAAGGCATCCGACATCCGGGAGCATATCCAAACAGATTATGGGATTGACGTGAAATATCATAAAGCATGGCGTGGCAAAGAGAATGCGATAAGGGCAATTAATGGTGGAGGTAGAGACAGTTTCTCACAACTTCCGTGGTACTGTCATGCACTTCGGGAGTCAAATCCGGGAAGTATTATAGACTGCGAAGTTGAGCAGGCAACCAAACGTTTCCAACGCCTTTTTGTTTGTTTAGGTGCATGCCGGCTGGGTTTTTTGAGGGGTTGCAGGCCCCTACTCTTTCTTGATGGGACACATATAAAAAACAAACACAAAGGGTGTCTGCTAAGTGCAATTGTAGTGGATGGGGATAATGGGATGTTTACTTTAGCATTTTCTGGTACGTAATTTGATATTAACTACAGTTGTCATTTTGTTAGAATGCTGGGAATAGCTGTTCGTGTATGCTGTTTTCCATGCTCTCTTTAGGCACGTATGTACCCTTATACGTTGGAAACCTTTGTAGTTATTTGTGTTCTTATTTGTTGACTTGCAGCTGTGTCCACGGAAAATGATGAAAATTGGGAGTGGTTTTGCTGGAAGCTGCGATCTGTTTTAGAATGTGAGGGACGTACGGATTGGAAACAGTACACATTCTTCTCGGATCGGCACTCGGGTTTACTAAAGTCAATCTCGTGCGTCTTTCCCGGAGCACATCATGCGTACTGTCTCCGACACTTAGTGGACAACTTCCGTACCCAGGTATATGTACGTCAATATTAATTTGTAATGAACATCACTGGTTATGATCAGCCATAAAATGTCTTTTTTTTAGGTTATGCGGAGATACCCAATGCATAATAAGAAACGATGGACCGCTGTTTTCAATAAGGCCGCCTATGCTCCGTTGAGGAGAGATTTCGAAAACCACATTAGTTCTGTGGTCGAATCAATGCCATTGGCCAGGGACTTCATTACCCAATCCTATTTTTGGGTTATTACTAGGAGATATAGTTGTTGTATTAAACTCGTCATACTAACCAAGTGCATGTGTCATACAACTTAAGTATTTGTTGATGCCTTCTTTAACCATCAGCAGTAAATACATGCTATTTGAAGAAAAAAAAAAAAAAGACCGTTTCCCCAGCCACAGGTAACCAGGGCATACATAATTGCAACTGAAGTATAATGTCACGGTTGTTGTAAGTACGCAATAGCTTACAGAGGGTATATGAATAATGATTCCAACATATAGGGTTGCGGTCCGAGTACAAACCATATTTTATTTTGTTTATACAGTATTCAAATTGTATTACCGTGTAATAACTTGGAGGCGTAGTATTGATTAAAATTCAGCACACAGCTACGTACCAGACTTCCATATGCCACACAACTATATTGTGGTTATATTATCGTGTCTATTCTATTGTGTTCTAATTCAATTAACGGGTAAGCGATGTAAGTATAATCTGTGGCCTAAAACACGCCATTCAAGATTATGGGGTTGACGAGAAACACTACCATGGTTAAGCCAATACACTCTTACCATCAGTTCATGAATATTTTAAGAGAAAAGGCCGAGTCCCCACCCGTAGGGTACCAGAGCATTTGAAATGGTAACGGAAGTATAAAGGCTATTTCCGTAGGTACATAATAGATACTATAGGGTATTTGTAGTAATGACTCCGTTACTTATGCATCTGAGCTAAGTACCAGACTCGCTGAACGAGGTACACAGATTGCGTATGCGGGCATCTGTGTTGTAGTTGTAGGTATCCTAGTTGTAGGTATAGTAGCACTTATCTGTAATCACGTGTTGCTTAGCATTCCGCAGGAAATAGTTGATTGTAATCTAGACGTTGGCCCACACGCAATTACCAGACACCTATGTCCCGCACAAATATTTTGTTGTAATATTATCATGTTTTTTTAGTATTGTTTGTTTTAAATTAACGAGTAAGCCCTTGCAGTATCTCTGGTCGATTAAAACATGGCGTCCAGTAGGGTTTTATGAGAAACGCCGACACGGTTGAACTGATTCAAAGTGAACGCTATTTCAGTGATCAGTGCAAAAGAAATGACCAGTCCCACAAACGCAAATGACTGGAGCATGTAATATATAAATGGAAGTACATACTAGTTTTCCGTAGGCACATAAAAGCTATCAACGGGTATCACCACACAACGCAGGTATATAATGAAGATGACAAATCAATCCACATAAAAGACA